ACTGAAAAATCTCAAAAACTAGCAAGGGTATTTGGGTTAGGGGGTAGTAAGACTATTCCTGTTCCTCAAAATAACTACAGTTAAGAAAAAGTAAGCATTTTATTTGGGGGGGGGAACCATGATCCCATCCTATATCATCCAATAATTTGCCTCCATTTCACAATTATTAACTTTAATTATCATACAAATAGTTTTCACACTTTTCAAGGCAGCATTTTTATTCCACTCACTAACAACACTGGAAACATCTTTCTGTCCCCTATTAAATATTTATGTCTCTGTGTTTCTGCCTATTGAACATGATGAGGGTTGAGTATCCTGAAGTATTTTCCAGGTAGACCTCAGTTCCCTCTGCTTTACTGAGTGGCAAGTAATGTAGCAATGCAAACTTGCAGTGGCAAGTAATGTAGCCCAAAATATTTAGAAAATGTCAGGCTGCCTACACAATATCCTGAAACTACCAGCAAATTCATTTTCTGAGTGCGGCTCTTTAATATTTCATATCACATAATCATAACTACATAAATCTGAAAATAAAAATAATGAAAATACAATAACACTTTAATTAAGTAAACATGATTAATATAAAAAATATGCATTAAAATGGGGGGATTAGAAAATCCATGCATAGACACCCTATCTATAACATTCACACAGGAAAGTTCTGGTTGCAGCCAAAATGTTTTAATTAAAATCAGAAGGAAAATTTTAATAAGCTTGGGTGAATCCCAAGAATTACAAAATTATCCTTCAGTAGATAAAAATCAAACAGAGAAACAGTTTAGTTATAATGCTCAATAAACTCAAAATACACATGTTTGGGATTAAAAAAAAGAAAAAAAGAATTGAATAAAGGTTTTTAGTTCACTAATTGATGTATTTTATATTGCAACACTTTTTGTGTCTCCAAATTCTGAAACCATTCACTTTTTCCCCTTTTCTTAAAAAAATTAAATAAAATTTCATTTCATTTCATGAAACTCAGTTCTAAAACAAGTCATTTGCAAAGCACTACCGTATTTACAATTAGCATTGTTGACATTTGCTGCAGAAAAACAAGTTACATGGATAGGAAAAAAGACAGTTTACAAACTGTAATGTGTGAATATGTTTTGGTTAAAGAGATGCTTAACAATGAACAATTTCATCAACCACAGTAGATAAATTTAAAACTATTTTATCAGCCACAGCTGTGAATTTTAATTGAAAAATAAAATAAACAAGAAGTACCCAATGAAAGAAGTTGTAGGACAATGCAATACAAATCGAGGAAGCTGAAAGACAATTTAGGAAAGCAAAAGACTAACCTAAACGCTTAACTGACAAAAAGAAAGGAACTGGAAATTCAGACTGCCTGGAAGATCAAAGCCTCGCTTCTTTGCTGAATGGGGATAGAATGACTGTGTGCCTACTTTTATTTATTTTCTTATTCTACAGCATTCATATGCTAGCTCTTTTGCAAGATTCTGGGTGTCTCACAATAAGGTACCTTGATTTTTGAAGTCTAATTTGTTGAAAAAAACATAATGATTGAGTACACATATAAATATAAACCATGAGTGGCTTCATACATTGTGTAAATTAATAACAAATCAAACCATAACTTAGTGTGATTTGTGATTGCAGCCACTGTAGTTACTTGATGCTAAACAAAAGATGCTCTGGACCCCAAAACTAGAACTCCACAAAATATTCAATACAATTCTTAGGAAAAAATTAAGCTTACTAAGTACTCATAATATGTATAGTAGATAACATTAGTTATCATATATTACAAAATTCCTCTCTAATTAGAAACATATTATGTACCAAATGTCTGTCCAATATACTTCTTTCAGCATGTAGGAGTGCCTTCTTTGTGATTTTCAGGCACTATATACTTGGAGACTGAAGCACCAAAACCCAAAATCATTAAGGACTTAAAATATCATTACTAAAATCTTGGCATCTGAATTATAACAGATAGCCAATGCAATTATTTTAAGTATGATATTATGTGGATTCTAAAGGGCAATAGCCACATTGGACAATAATGTCACTGCTGCATTCTGCATTAGTTACAGTTTCAGAATCATTGTCAAGAATTATCTTTGTTCAGCATCTTTTAGTAGTTTTAATGTGAAGTTTATGGGAGCATAAACTGATTTGCTTAATATGAGTTGTAACTGCTGGGACAGGCAAAGCCAGAGCTTCAATCTATTGGAATCAACTTCAGTTTATTGGTCCTTAACCAACCTATTATAGTTTCTAGCAATAGCAATAGCACTTAAACTTACATATACTGCTTCACAGCGCTTTACAGCCTCTCTAAGCAGTTTACAGAGTCAGCATATTTCTCCCAACAATCTGGGCCCTCATTTTATCGGTCTCGGAAGGCTGGAAGGTTGAGTCAAACCTTTAGCTTGGTGAGATTCAAACTGCCAAATTGCAGGCAGTCAGCAGAAGTAGCCTGCAGTACTGCATTCTAACAACTGCGTTATCATGGCTCTTCAACGTACACCCTAGTTAAAGACCTGCATCACCTTATTTAACTCAGATGTCAGAGGGAAATAGATTTGCATATTATCAGCATATTAATAGCACCCAGCCCAGACCCACAGTTGACCTCACCCAGCATCTTCATAGGAATATTAAACAATAATGGTGGTCCTAAAAAAAAAAACATCCTAGAAGCCACTCTCTGGAAACAAATTCCGAGATAAGAATAATGCCAGAGAGAAAATAACTAACTGATCAGGATACCATGATCAGAGCTACATTCAGGAAGATTAACAGAATTGAACTCCAGAGCATGTGATCTGATGCCCCAGATAGTTCAGGGCTGAAACCCACTACAATAATTTGGATAATCCAAATGAATGCATAAAAACTGATTAAGCTCTCAAATACCTTGATGAAAAATGGATATTTGCAAAGAAATTATCTTTAAATAAATACCACCGTCTCTTTTGACACAAAGAGAATGAATTCCTGATATAAGGAAGCATTTCCAACATTCTAGATCAGTGATGGCCTCAGGTGCCAAAAGTATGCACACATGAGCTATCACACACGCTCGTGTGCTCACCCCCATAATTTAATGCCCCCCGTGCCATGCCCCATGCACATGCATGTGTGACCCCCCTCTGCTGTCCCACACATGCGCGGATGGCTTTCTTGGACCCCCCCCCCCCAGAGGCCCTCTGGAGGGTGGAAAACAGCCCAACACGCAAACCTGAAGTCCGTTCCTGAAAAACGGCTGAAAAACAAGATCGAAAATTAGCTGGCTAGGGCACGCATGCACGCTGGAGCTGACAGGGCAACATCTCACATTCCCTCAGAAATGGCTCCGCATGCTACCTGTGGCACGCATGCCATAGGTTTGCCATCATGGTTCTAGATCCACCTCATCAGTCTACTTCTTCCCGATTCATTTCAATGGATAACCAAACTTTACAGAATGATAGCCAGCATTCTATAGTACAGAATCCCCTTTGTCATAAAAGCAGTTCTATTAGAAAGTACCATGTCTTCTTTATCTGTCCCCACATTGCATGTAATAGGTAAAACAGTAACAGAGTTGGAGGTCATCTAGTCCAATCCCCTGCTCATGCAGGAGACCTGTACTAGGGATTCGAACCACCGGTACAACTTAAGATTTCACAACCCCTCCTTTAAACAGCTCCAATAAGGCCTCTTTGTTGTAGATGTCTTGTCCTCCATATATTGGTGGGGGAGGGGAGCAATGTCAGATTGAAGGAAAAGACTAGCACAGAAGCATGCCATCTTTGTTAAATAATATTCTTCCCTTGTAAATGGGGAAATCTGAAATAAAAGGAATCTAGGAATTCAGTGTTTTGATGATCACTTGTACAATTCTACAAGTTACACAATTTATTCATAGGATTGTAATCAGTAATGGTTCATTTGAACTATATTCGTTTTAAATGTATCCTGTATCATGTTAGGTAGCAGTCTGGTTCCCATATGTATGTTCATCAAATGATATCTAAAGCATCAATTATATCTAAAGATACAACATGAAGTATTAGATATAGAAAAAGATAATTGCAGACTAAATTCCACTTACTAAATTACTTATCCATTAGCTATGTGTCATCAATAATTGACATTTCAACTGACAACAGTTGAGGCAAAGTAAATATGTGCAGAACTGTTTTGTGATCAACTCAGCAAGTAAATGTTTAAGACTCAAACTACAAGATGATTTGCATCTTCAGAAAATTGAAAGAAACGGAAAAACCTCTTTAGCATGGGTGAAGCAACATGCCTCCCACTGATGAGATGAGCCACAAGGCAGACAAAAAGAGGAAAACAATGTTGTTTACCAGTAGCACCATGGCCATTGGTCCTGACCCAGAACAAGGTTGCTAACTTCTACCTGAAATAGTTTTCTCCAGACTGAAACCCTCTATGTGAGTTGTACCATATGGACACAACTCTCAGAATTTCTGGATAAAATCAATGCCAACATTATTCTATTGTTTGCTTCAGTTCAGTAAAATCTGATCCTGAAGGCTCTAGGCAGCTACAAAACTCATCATAAAATGAAAATATCCATAATGGGGGGGGGGGGAAATGAACTGTAGGAATTACATTTCAAACAAATCTGACCAGGACTAAGTTAGGAAAATGCAGTATTAGCATTTGTCTTAAAATTAATATGCCAGACACAAATAGATAAATTTAAAAGAGAACAGCACATGAGTAACATAGAATTTTAACCAGGATTAATTACCATTTCTCAATATCCTACAATTATATGAGGTATCAACTGCTTCATCTTAATGGAAGTTCTAGTAAGCACTAATGATTTTGTTTTTTTCTTAATTAATCTTCATTCTGCAATGATCAGAGAAATCTAAACAAAAAACAGTACACATTTTTTTCCAAGCATTATGAACATACATTTGAATGTCAAAATAGTGAGCAAGAGAAACTGGAGGACATTTCTTATACACTAGGTATGTCTTTAAAAGAAAACTGATATAGCACCTTACCAGTGAATAGATTAATAGCAAACAATCCTTGATGGTTTCCATTTATGATGTGGAAAGTCAGTTTTCCCTCTGAATCAGTATCTGGATCAACAGCTTCAACTTGAAGGATGGAAGTATTGGCTGGTGAATTCTCCAAGACAGAGGAATAAAAGACAGGTCTGGACATCTGAGGTGGATTATCATTGATGTCACTGATTTCAATGTAAATTTCAACCACAGAAGACAGGGGGACTGATCCTTGATCAACTGCAAGTACTGTCAACCAATAATGAGAGCACAATTCTCTGTCGAGTGGCCCCATGGTAAAAATAAGACCTGAGAAAAATAGAGTATTATATGGTTTCCAGTGGTAAGAACAAAATTAAATACATTTTTTTTTTTTTAGAATTAGTGGAGTTTCTCTTCTGGAACTCTTAAAACGCAACTTAATCTACGAAAATGTTCTTCTTTATATTTTCAGTTTCTGCAGACTTAAATCTATCCTACCATATAATGCAAGCCATATAACTGATCCAATCTTATCATTAAACAAACAAGTAAAGAAAAACATGTTCTATAAAATCAGATCCATCT